TATATAGTGTGTGTGTGTGTGTGTGTGTGTGTGTGTAGAGGAATTTAGAGGACAACATTCACAAATAAATGAAGATCTTGTTCAAAACACTACAACTGTAAAATGGAAACTTTGAAGCAAAACTGCACATATAATTTTCTTAAGAAAAACTTTATATAATATAGAATATATATAGAAAACATTATTTTGTTATAAAATAACAATTTATATTATTAATATTTGACTTTTTCAATTCATTATTATTTTTACACATTTAATGAGGACATAATTCATAACAATTTTGTTTTGAACTATGTGCTAGAAACCAACATAAACATCCACTGCTAGAGAAAACACACATTTGTGTAACCATACGTCTGCATATTACCCATATATTGCACGATAATCCATATTAAACTGCGTACATCCCACGATGGATGTAGTTATGTAGTTGCGCAATTAAAGAACTACAAATCCCGTGCAAGCCATTCAAAAAAAAAAGTCAGCTTCCGCGCAACTCCATCATCGTCCAATCAAATCCCACGCCCTTCACGTAAGCCCCTCCCCTATCAACTTGTGTTTTTCCTCCCCTTCAGTTCTCCGCTGCCTGCGACGCCATATTGACGAAAAACACCCTTTCTCAAAAACGCCTGAAACACTCTCTCCGCCAGAATGTTGTACCTTGAGGACTACCTCGAGAGTGAGTATATGAGTTATTTTAATGGTTCGTGTTTATATTAGAGGGGCTAGGTGTCTGAGAGGGCTGTTTTGTGCGCGTGAATGCGTCGCAGCCGTTAGCCTGTAACGCGCCTCTGTTCTTCTCCCGGCAGTGATCGAGCAGCTACCCATGGATCTCCGCGACAGGTTTACGGAAATGAGAGAGATGGACCTGCAAGTGCAGAGTACGAATTCAGTTTAAACTCACACTTCTGCCGTAAAACATCACATCTGACCTTGACTAATGCAGAAAACTCTTCATATTAGTGAGGATTTGTTTGGTGGATTTGCATGCATGTATTATGCGCTCACTTCGCATTAGCATACAACATCATGTGGAAGTTAAGCAACATGTGTGACTCAGCTAAGGGAAAGCTTGGGATTCGCATGCATTATTAATTTTAACAAATTATATATATATATATATATATGTATATATTTTTTTTTTACCGTCCACTGACTGTTGACACTGTCAATACCTCCCTACTGATATGAATAGGCTCTTCATAGTCTTCATCATAGTTTTGCATGGAGTGTAAACCGTGAGTATTTGATCTTCTTAGTAACTCATTTTAGTTAGTAATTTGAACTACTAATTAATTTAGCCATGTTAGTAGTACAATTATTACAAGGACAGTCGTTCTTGACAGGTTTCGCCATTAATCTCATATCCAAGAACATGCCCAGGTAATAATTCACAGCAAAAATAAATAAATATTTATTATTTTTTTATATATTTATAGCAAACCTAATTTTTTTTTTTTTATATATATATATATACTTTTTTATTGTTATTTTGAGGTGTGTGACCTGGGCTTTTTTTTTTCTTCATTAATTGCCTTGCCTTCAATTGTTATGGTTCATGGATCACCCTTTATGGGTGTTGAACCTACAACCTTTTAATGATCTACCCAGATCTTTAGCCACTAGGCTAAACCACCTCCTCTGTTGAAAGATTTAATTCAGTGATCTGACCATAGGCTCCACAGGAGCCAATCAGTGTGATTGTGAGTTGAGTGTTGGGTTCTTGACTCATTCCTGCCCCTGTTCTTTTGTTCAGATGCGATGGATCAGCTAGAGCAGCGTGTTAATGAGTTCTTTACTAACGCCAAGAAGAACAAGCCTGAATGGAGGGAAGAACAGATGGAAATCATTAAAAAGGTAACGAACAGATGCTGTGCACCTCAGTTGATCCATGTTTTACTGTTATTAATAACAGTTGTATTAGGTATAATATTGATACTGGAATTCAAATGTGAATTTTTTTAAAGGAATAGTTCACCTAAAAATGAAAAATTGCTTAAAATGTACTCACCCTCAGGTCATCCAAGATGTAGATGAGTTTGTTTCTTCATCGTAACAGATTTGTAGAAATTTAGCATTACATCATTTGCTCACCAGTGGCTCCTCTGCAGTGAATGGGGGCCGTCAGAATGAGAGTCCAAACAGCTGATAAAAACATCACAATAATCCACATGACTCTGGTCCATCTGTTTACATCTTGTAGATTGAAAAGCTGTATGTTTGTAATAAATCCATCCAGATGTATTTAAACTCAATCCATTGTTTCCAGCTAAAATGCAAGTCCTCCATCCATAAAATTGCATCCTCCAGTGTAAAGGCTATTTTTTCTAAATATTAGTGAAAACAATCCAAAAGAGTTATGAATGTGTTGGTGGATTTTTATGTGAGAGGACATTTTTCATACAAATACACAGCTTTTCATTTTACAAGACAATAATTGATGGACTGGAGTCATGTGAATTACTTGTGGATTATCGTGAAGTTTTTATCAGCTGTTTGGACTCTGACGGCACCCATTCACTAAACAGGATCCATTAGTGTGCAAGTGATGTAATGCTAAATTTCACCAAATTGCTCAGATGAAGAAACAAACTCATCTACATCTTGGATGGCCTGAGGGTGAGTGTATATTTTTAGGTGAACTATTCCTTTACTCATTGATGGATAGTTTTGCAATTGAGTGGTTATATGCACTTTTTTTTTTTTTAAAGTATCTCTTTCTGTTTATCAGGACTACTATAAAGCTTTGGAAGATGCAGATGAAAAGGTCCAGTTAGCCAATCAAATTTATGATCTGGTGAGTAACTTGGTTTCCACTAGGTGGCAGCACATCATAGATAGTGAATAAGCCATGGCACTCAGGGATGCTGCTACTCCCGCTGTTTAAAGGGGTCCTATTATGCTCTTTTACCTTCAAACTGGAATCATGGAGGAATATCCGGTAATGTCCACTTCGCAGGGCACTTACAGTCAAATATAACAAACGTATGAAGCAATAAGAGAAACATACAAAATGTGCAGAGCGGGGGTACGCGAAGACTGGAATTGAGAACCGCTGTTCTAGACATGCCAAAAATTTGACGCTACAGCACAGCAGCTCTTCTTCTTGGTTTTCTCTGATGCACTAACTCTGCAGCAGCACTTCTTCTTCATCATCTCGTCTGATGCGCTCACTCAACCAAGCGTTCTAACCACAACCTCGCCCCTCCCCACCACCCAACCATTCGAATTTCTGTAGGCGGGAATTATTTGTAGTGAAATTCTAATGAGCCGCTTTGTGATATCACAAAGCCAGGAAACCAAACGCTGTAGTCCAAACGAGCCGTTCGCTGTAATTCTTGAAAAGGGATTTTTTAAAAAAAAAGTGAAAAAGCATAATAGGACCCCTTTAAGTTATCAACGCTGGTTGCTTTTCGTGTGCTTTAATTCAAGTCTCCTTTGATTAGGAATGTATTTTACTTTAGTCAAAATGTACATAATAGTACATAACCTTGATCCTGGTGAGAGGGTTTATGGGATATCTGCTACCTATTGATCTTGTGCTGATGATGGTGTCTCTTTACGTAGGTTGATAGACACTTGCGGAAGTTGGATCAGGAGTTGGCGAAGTTCAAAATGGAGTTGGAGGCAGATAACGCTGGCATCACAGAAATCCTAGAGAGACGTGAGTGGCACCTGTCAATCACCTTCTTCATAGTTTGTTAAAGGGCTAATTTAAATAATGCTTAAAGCTAGGAATTACCTCATGCTTTTAAAGAAGATGTGATGTTTTAATGTGTAGCAAATAAAATACTACTTGCTTAGGAAAAAAGTACCTTATAGGAAAAATTAAAGGTAGTCTGAAAATGTTTGGGTGCATTTCAGTCAACTGATCATGTTATGGCTTTGTGCTGATTTGAAACTTCACCTGAAAGTCAGTTTTACTTTTTCTAGGGTCACTTGAGATGGACAGCCCCTCTCAACCTGTCAATAACCACCACGTACATTCACACGCCACTGTGGAGAGTAAGTCCGTTCCAAGAGAATGACTGCTCCTTGTTTTCTGTTTCAGTGCTCTTACCTGTTTTGTGTGTGTTTCGACAGAGAGGAAGTACAGCACGCCAGCACACCACACTACTGAAAACGTACCAGAAAAGAAGTTTAAGTCGGAGGCCCTTCTCTCCACACTAACGTCAGACGCTTCTAAAGAAAACACACCGGGTAAAACATACATTCTCTCTCTTATGAGTCACCATATGAAAACATGTCAGTCACAACAGAAAGATTTTTTAAAGAAAGTAAACTTTTTCAGGCATTTGACAATATTCGGTTTATCTCAATATTTACACTACCGTTCAAAAGTTTGGCATCGGTAACTTTTAATTTTTTTTTAACTCTCTTACGCTCACCAAGATTGCATTTGTTTGATCAAAACTTCGGTAAAAACAGTAATATTGTGAAATTTTTACAATTTAAAGTAATTTTAGTATTTAATTTTAAATTGAATTTTTTCCTGATGAATGAGCATGTCTTCAGTGTCACACCAGGGCTCGCAAAATTGCTAGCCCGACGTCCCAGGGCTATTGTGTTCGTGTGGATTATTGTGATGTTTTTATTCTGACGGCACCCATTCACTGTAGAGGATCCATTGGTGAGCAAGTGATGTAATGCTACATTTCTCTAAACCTGTTACGATGAAGAAATGAACTCATCTACATGTTGGATGGCCTGAGAGTGAGTACATTTTCAGAAAAGTTTTGGGTGAAATATTCCTTTAATCATTGATGGATAGTTTTGCATTTAAGGGGTCATATGCACAATTTTTTTTAAAGTATCTCTTTCTGTTTATCAGGATTACTATAAAGCTTTGGAAGATGCAGATGAAAAGGTCCAATTAGCCAATCAAATTTATGATCTGGTGAGTAATTTTGTTTCCACTAGGTGGCAACACAACATAGATAGTGAATGGGCCTCAGGGATGCTTCCACTCCCCACAGTTTGTTATCAACACTGCTTTTCATGTGCTATAATTCAATAATCCATTTTGATTACAATTTTTTCCCCAGTCAGATTGATGGTATATGACTATATTTCTGGTGAGAGGGTTTATGGGAGATCTGCTCTCTGTTGATCTTATGCTGATGTGTGGGTCTCTACGTAGGTGGATAGACACTTGCGGAAGTTGGATCAGGAGTTGGCGAAGTTCAAAATGGAGTTGGAGGCAGATAACGCTGGCATCACAGAAATCCTAGAGAGACGTGAGTGGCACCTGTCAATCACCTTCTTCATAGTTTGTTAAAGGGCTAATTTAAATAATGCTTAAAGCTAGGAATTACCTCATGCTTTTAAAGAAGATGTGATGTTTTAATGTGTAGCAAATAAAATACTACTTGCTTAGGAAAAAAGTACCTTATAGGAAAAATTAAAGGTAGTCTGAAAATGTTTGGGTGCATTTCAGTCAACTGATCATGTTATGGCTTTGTGCTGATTTGAAACTTCACCTGAAAGTCAGTTTTACTTTTTCTAGGGTCACTTGAGATGGACAGCCCCTCTCAACCTGTCAATAACCACCACGTACATTCACACGCCACTGTGGAGAGTAAGTCCGTTCCAAGAGAATGACTGCTCCTTGTTTTCTGTTTCAGTGCTCTTACCTGTTTTGTGTGTGTTTCGACAGAGAGGAAGTACAGCACGCCAGCACACCACACTACTGAAAACGTACCAGAAAAGAAGTTTAAGTCGGAGGCCCTTCTCTCCACACTAACGTCAGACGCTTCTAAAGAAAACACACCGGGTAAAACATACATTCTCTCTCTTATGAGTCACCAACATGTCACATGTCAGTCACAACAGAAAGATTTTTTAAAGAAAGTAAACTTTTTCAGGCATTTGACAATTTATCTCTTATCTCAATATTTACACTACCGTTCAAAAGTTTGGCATCGGTAACTTTTAATTTTTTTTTAACTCTCTTACGCTCACCAAGATTGCATTTGTTTGATCAAAACTTCGGTAAAAACAGTAATATTGTGAAATTTTTACAATTTAAAGTAATTTTAGTATTTAATTTTAAATTGAATTTTTTCCTGATGAATGAGCATGTCTTCAGTGTCACACCAGGGCTCGCAAAATTGCTAGCCCGACGTCCCAGGGCTATTGTGTTTTCCAGTCAGGCTACCAAAATGTATCACCACTCTGCCCCGACGGGCGGGCTATCTTAAATGCAGATCTCCTTAAAAACTCCTAAAGTGAGTTGTATCAAACTTAAGGCCATTCATATACATCTAGGATGACTTGAGGGTGAGTAATTTATAGACTAACTTTCATTTTTGGGTGAACTAACCCTTTAAGGCCATAAAAAGTTTTAAATAAGTTAAATGGTATAAGAAATGTCTTAATTATAATTTCAAGAGGTCTTACATTTGGGGACGGAAAGACAACAGTCGCGATATGTGATAAATGTTATTAAACTTCAAAAGGCAATGATGTCATTGAATAAATATGAGCAATGCACGTTTCAAGTCAAAACGCGGTGCGGATGTCTTTATTTTACCTTAAATTGTATCAGAAAAGTTTTCATTATAATTTCAAGAGGTCTTACATTTGGGGACGGAAAATCACGATATGGCTGGATTAAACCTGAAAAGGCTATAATTTCACTGAATAAATGGCCAATGAGCGCTGGACGTTTCAAAGTCAAAACGCGGCATCAGTGTTTGTTTTTTGAGTGCGTCTCTGAAGGGAACTGACTGTCTTCAGAAAAGTTGCATTTTCATTCAATCTTTCCTATAATGCCTGATGAAGTAGCGTTTATGAGCGTAGCGCTGCTTTGTGTACTGTGCTTACCGGGGAAAGCACTATATTTCTGCCGTTCTTACGTTCCTATGTTTTTACGCAGCAAACACATAGAGTTGTAAATGAGAAAGAAGTTAATGTGCCTTCTAAAAATCTAAACAATTAAGACAGTAATATTTTTAAGTTTTAAATTGACATAATTTAAATGCTTGATTTATCCCTTTTCATAAAAATGGTCTAAAGGCTATGCTGTTGTATAAGATTTTTGTTTTTGTGAAAACCTGTATCTGAACTGTAAATCATGTAATTTTATGGCTCAGTACTGTATGTTACCATAGACATTGTCCAACCCCACTCATACGGTGTTCATTTTACTTGTGCAGCTGTTAAAATGGGTCATAAATTGCCTTAAATTTATTTTTTTAAATTCTGCAGATACCCTGTAAATAGTGAAATAAAATTCCTTCCTTCATATTTGTTGATATTTGTGTATTGAAAATATTTTTGATTGACATTTAAACTCCTATCTGATTTTCTATATTTAAAAAAAAAAGGCCTTTTTTAATTTGGGCTAGTTAAAAAAATTTTCGGGCTACCAAAATCTGAAGAGTACCTGCCCGAAGGGCTACCAGGGATTTTGACATTTTGCGAGCCCTGCACATGATCCTTCAGAAATCATCCTTGAATGCTGATTTGGTGCACAAGAAGAAACATTTCTTATCATTATCATTGTTGAAAACTTCAAATATTTGTAAGGTTTATTTTTTGTGGAAACTGTGATACGTTTTTTTTCTTCTGGATTTTTTGATGAATAGAAAGTTCAAAAGAACAGCATTTAATCTAAATAGAAATCTCTTGTAGCATTATGAATGTCTTTACTGTCACTTTTAATTTATTTCATGCATCCTTGCTCAGTGAAAGTAGTCATTTATTTAAAAAATCTTATTTAACTCAGACTTGTGTACGGTGGTGTATGCGGAATTATTTATTTATTTTTCCTGTCAGAGGAACCATCAAATAGCCATTGTTGCCAAATGCTAATTCAAAATGATTTATGTAAGAACTAAATCTAAAAAAGTAATAAAGGTGATTTAAAAAAAAATTTATTTAATTAAGTTCATTATTAAATGAACACAGGAAAGAATGAATATTCCATCTTTTTAATTGTTTACCAATAAAACGATACATGGTAATAAATAGCAAAATTTACTTACATTCCATGTAAACATTTTGATGCAAGTAAACACTCTCATACATGCATTTTGTGAGAGAGGATTCTTAAACTAATCTAACAACACATTCTTTAGGGAACATTATGAATAATTTTATTCTTCACATTAATTTCCATCAAAATCATTGCTAATATAGCGAATATTCAGTATAACTGCAGCCCTTATCCTAATCACAGTGTCAAGGGAAATAAACAACAACTATAATTTGTCGTAATCCTGCTGCACATATGTTTGCTGTGTGTGGTAACTACTGAATGGTTCAGAAGAAATGAGTGTAATGAGATTAGTTATGACTCATGTTGGACAAGTGTTTCTGGTCATATATGAAATGGTATTTTGTGTGTGTGAGTTGCAGGCTGCAGAGTGAACAGCACGTCCTCTTCTAACAGCGTGTATAACGTCAACTCCTCCCAGTCGCTTTCCTCATACAACCTGAGCCCACTTCCTGCCGGGCCCGCTGCTGGGGCGGGGGCCATTTCCATGGCAGCAGCTCAGGCAGTGCAAGCCACCGCACAGGTAAAACCACCGCGCCCCCCCCTCTTTCTCTCTAATTCTAGATCTCTTTGTACCCCCTCCTCCCTTTACTTCCTGTTTCAACTATTTTTGGCTTCTTAAGGGTCGTTTTTTCCTCCTATCTGTTATTTTTGTGTCAGATTATGTTTTACTGGCACTCTGCCCATGTTAATTTCAGCGTTTACAACACAGAGGCACTTTGATATTGTTTCTCGAGAAAAATCATATCGATAATTTTGGAGTTTTTATTATAAGCTCTTGTTTTTTATTCAGGTCCAGTGAGACTCCTTTACATCAAAAAAGCCTAAAAAATACAAGCAACTGTAATAAGATATTGACACACTAAATATTTTGGCATTTAAAATACATTAATAATTATAAAGCTCCGAAATAAAATATTTTAAAAATGTATAAATTTTATTATATATATTTCACCCTTTTTTGTATTTTTTCGTGTTTGTGTTATTTATTATCTATATATTAGTGCAGTCAAACGATTAATCGTATACAAAATAAAAGTTTTTGTTTACATAATATATGTTTGTGTACTGTGTATATTTATTATGTATATATAAATACACACATATGCATGTATATATTTAAGAAAAATTGTAATTTTATAAATTTAAAATATGTATATCAGTTATATGAATATAAATATATACATGGAAATATTTTCAAAAGAAATACTGTATGTGTGTGTATTTATATACACACATATTATGTAAACACATTTTTTTATTTTGGATGTTTAATCGCGATTAATCGTTTGACAGCACTAATATATATATATATCGTACCCACTGTATATATATATATATATATATATATATATATATATATATAATACACAGTGTTTCCCGTACATTGATTTACTTGTGGCGGCCCACCACAATATCAAAACTCACCGCCACAAATAGATTTTCCAAAAGGCTTTGACTTCGTTGAATGAACATGAGCACTGCACGTTTCAAAATCGAAACCAGGTGCTGGTGTTTTTATATAACTGTGTTTCTGAAGGAAACCGACTGTCTTCAGAAAATTTTGGATGTCATTTTCATTTCATCTTGCATGTAATGTCTGATAAAGCAGCGTTTGTGAGTGGAGCGCTGCTATGTGTACAGCGTTACCAGGGAAACCTCTATTTCTCCTGCTCTACAAGCGCCTCCTGCTGGCAGAGAATGAATTTGCATATATATGCCGCCACAAATAGAGTGCAAGTCTGTGGGAAACACTGATATATATAGGAACTTTACATTTTTTTTCTTCATCCTCTTTAATATTTGTGTGCGTGTTTTTCAGATGAAAGAGGGCAGGAGAACATCCAGTCTCAAGGCCAGTTATGAAGCTGTCAAGAACAATGATTTCTTGGGGCGGGAGTTTGCTCTGAGTCGGGACACCAGCGGTTACTCGTCTTCTGCACTGGCTAACACACTCGCACAGCCCCTCACGTCCAACATCAGCTCAGACTCTCGCACAGGACGCAAGACCAAGTAAGACTCGCACTGTTTCCATATCCATTTATTTGGTTCCTCAATGAGCCACCAAGATACATTTTTGTGGTGTTTTTGTACATTGTGCCTCCTCTGTAAGCATAAACCTCTTTCTCTGACATATTGTATTCATCAAATTCATATACGTTTGATTTGAAACCACTTTCTTGCTTGGCTTTTCAGAGGCAACACTAAGTCTTCCAATCACCAGTCCTCTTCATCCTCCTCTTCCTCTTCACTGTCATCCTGCTCGTCATCGTCAGCATTGGCTCATGAGCTGGTACAGACCACCGTCACAGAAACTGACACCAGCAGTCAGGTGGACTGGACCTACGACCCCAACGAACCCAGATACTGCATCTGCAACCAGGTGTGTTCCCGTCACATCTCTTATACAGTATTCCAGCAACACTACTACTTGTAGTGCTCTTACTGTGATTCTGATATTGAATTGATTTACTGTTACATTGATTCACTAATTCTAATTAATTGGGACCACTATCTAAAGATTACAAAGCTGTCGTGTGGCAGTAGATTCACACATTAAAGCTGTTAAGCTCATGTTGGTTAGACAGGTTAGTTTCTATTGGAATCTATAACGGAAAAAGCCTAAAATAAAATAAATCATAAGACAAACAAAATTAAAAAACATTCAAGACATTCCTCGGCTTGCCATGCGTGATGACCCTTCGCATCTGGCAGCTCCTGCTAATCCATATTGGCATAGTATGGATTGACATGATGCAGACTGGGAATTGTAGTCTTGAACTGTTTGATGGACTACAAGTCTTGTGATTTCAGCTCTGATAAATCTTAAAGGATCCTGATATGAACAGATTACGACAGCAACAGTGACGCCTCATTGCTCGCCAGTGAACGTGACGATTTTGCTGGATTATTTGTGTGTAATGGATAGATGATGTATTGTGCTCTGCTTAAAGGACAGGGTGTTTCTTATTTTACCAAGGAGCTCTTAAGGTGTACAATAGAACAAATGAACAACTGTGACCTGTGTGTATGTTTGTGTGTCTGTGTCTCTAGCTTGGGGGGGGGGGGGGGGGGGAATAAAATGATCAAGAACTTTTGGTACACACTGTCTTAAAGTGCGTTTTAAAAGATTGAATGCATTTTGCCAAGTAGGACATGTTTCTGGATCAACGTCATTTTGGTCCTGGAACAACATTGGTATCAACCAAATGCCCTCTCATTTTAGTAGGAGCGTGGGAAGGATATTAGAATTGGGAGACGCATTGAGCAATATTCATGAAACGAGCAGAATGCATTTTTGTATAAATCCCTCTTGAAACAGTTCTTAAATTTTCCCACTCAAGCAAATGGGACAATTTAAGATGTCGTTCTCTTCGTATTAACTCATTTAGTCCTAAACCATAAAAATCCATTTGTAACCAAAATTTGCTTTGAGTTTGAAGGGCTAAAAAACTTGTAAACTATAGATGTTGTACACTTTAAATTTCACGTTCAGACCTTGATTTCTTGTGAGCATTTTTTATAGCTGGTTTAAATGAGCAAAATTAATTAATTCCAGATATTAATTTAAAAAGAAAACGTCAAAGCTCCATAGAATGTGTCAAAATACCCGAGAAAATACTGTAAATATTATATATAATTATATATGCTCTCATAAATCATGACCACAATACATGTAAACACAATAGTGGTGTCACTGTTTATTTTGACAATATAAAATAAATAGATTTCAAAGTATTGTTTCTTTAAAGGGGTCCTATTATGTTTTTTCAACTTTAGTTAGTCTGTAATGTTGCTGTTTGAGCATAAAAAAGATCTACAAAGCTCAAAGTCCACTTCAAAAGGAGATATTTTATTTAACAATAATCACTTTTCAAAAACTACAACGAACGACTCGTTTGGACTACAGCGCATATTTTCCGGGATTTGTGATATCACAAATACCGACGAATGGGACGAGACCTGGTTGAGCTGCACTAGAGAAGGCAACAAGTGTTATCACTATGTGGAGACACGGTACCTTTCCCAAGGCAGACGAACTTAGAGTGGTTACAATCATCCAGGTTTAAATCGCGCTCAAATTGATTTGATTTTTGACACAATATTTACACTGAAGCTCCCAGGTGGCTATGGTAAGAGGCATGACATTTCCCGACCAGGCGCTGAGTGCTGCCAATCACAGCACACACTGGCCCAGCTAACCAATCACAGCACATTTCTTATTTCAGAAGGCGGGCCTTCATTTGATACAGGAACTATTCGAGCCGTTCATACCAGACTGGGGAGAGAGGTGTTGTAATAATGTAAAATATGTGAAAAATAATGTGTTTTTCGAACAAACTAGTATGAGAGCCTGTTCTAGTACACCCCCAAAACAAAATCAAGACTTTGTAAATAAGCATAATAGGACCCCTTTAAATAAAAAAAATATATATATATATATAATTTCTTTTACATTTTTTTGAGAATAGTATTTTTTTATTAATATTTATCTTACGGAGGAATCGTAACGTATTTTGTTTGTTTGTTTGTTTTAGAATATTACAATATGAATTATATTTTGTTTTGTTGGGCTTTCCAAAGACTAAAATGCATGTGCTATCTTAGCTGGGAAAATGTTGGAATTAAATAGGTACTTTAACAAATCAAAAGAACAGACCCAAACATCCTCTTTTTTTGCTGGCTTTAACTTTAACGGTGGCTACTACAGTTACTTCCATTTAAACAGCTATGAAAAGGAGCAGCTCACGGGGGTCTGGAGTAAAAGTTAGAATATAATTTTAAATACTTGAACAATACATTTTTATTAATGTATTGTTCAACTTTGTAAAAGTTGAAGAATTGTAAAGGTTCTTAAAAACGTAACGCGTATGCGCGCGAGAAACCGTATGAAAACAGTGAGACGTGACGCAACGCAACCGTGATGGCAGTCTCTCGCTCGTTTCGATTGACCAATAATATAAAGGGCTGTAAATGACCGCTAAACACGTCCTGTGTGAAAAGGCCTTTAAGTTTAATATGTTGAGAAGCCCAGCCGAACCCACAACATTCGCGGCGGTTTGGTAAAGTGAGGAAGGCGCTCTCTGACAGCGCGTGAAGGAGGCGTATCATTACTCTCAGTCATGAGGTTCCTCCGCTCGGGACTGTTTTTAATCAACCGTGGGGCTCAGCAGCTCTGAGAAGAAGAAAGAAGCCTTCAGAGAAACTTTTCACTCTGTTTGGACACCCGGGACTTCACGAGACTTCACAACCAGCTCTGACGCGCGTCGAATTAGTTCAAGCTTTTCCACGATAATGTCCTAAAGCGTTCCTCAGATATGTGCGCTTTAACCCAGCGCGTCGGATTCCTGAGCTGCGCGTTTGAGCGCTTGTCGCTCGACAGCGCGCCGTGATCCGGAGGGATGATGTGGGGACCAAGCGCGCATTCCCAATGGTATGTGTCTTGACTCTTGCCAGGAACGTTTGTGCAGAAGTGGGAATGCTTTTCCGTGGGATCTGGGCGCTCCGCCGGAGGTGCTGCACTGGTCCCCTTCTGCTGCTGGGGATAGCGGTCGGGCTGTTTTACCACACTGTGACTATGCACCGGGACAGAACTGAGTTCAAGTCCAGTCAACGGGACCAAAGGAACAAATCTGCGGTGTTTGATTATAAACTACTCCTCAAGAACCCAGAGAGACTCGTATCTCTACTAGAAGCATCACAGACAGACAGTTTTGTAAGTGTGATACTTTCTTTTATGTTTCAAAGCTGTTTATAGTTTATTATTTCATCTTTGCCTAATAATAATGCTGATGAAGATGATGATAATAATAATAATAATAATAATAATTATTATTATTATTAGGGATTATTAAAGTACAAATATTTATGTATATTTATCTATAATATTTAGTATTCATTATCTTAAAATGTAATGCATGTATAAAATAGTTCTTTGTAGTACTGAAAAAAATATATTTAATTCTCATAATATTACAGCATTCATTTATTTAAATATAATTATTTATTAATGTATTGTTCATGTATTTAATGTTAAATCTAATGCATAATTAATACAGTTAAAATTTAGAAAAATAGAATATAAAATACCCATAATATTACAGCATTATATTTACTTTTTATTAATGTATTGTTCAAGTATTTAATGTTAACTCTCATGCATAATTAAAATAGCTTTTTTATAATACAAAAACATTTTTAAATATTTGATACTCAATATTACAGCATTAATGTATTTAAATGTAATTATTTATTCATGTATTATTTATGCATTTGTATAATGATTGAATGTATTATTCACTGTGTAATTAAAATAGTTTTTTATAATGCTGAAAATATTTACAATATTTAATACACATAATATTACAACATTAATGTATTTACATTTTATTATTGCATTATTATTTGTATTTAATGTTAAATTTAATGCTTAATTAAAAGAACAATTTGGAATGCTGAAAACAAAATAGAATATTTAAGTCATAATATTACAGGATTAATGTATTTAAAAGCAAATTATTTATTAATGTATTATTCGTGTATTTAATTTGACGTGATGCATAATTAAAATAGTTATTTATAATACTGAAAAAGTATTATTTATTTATAATACTTTAGAATATTTTATACTCATAATATTACAGCATTTATATTTAAATGTACTTATACTTGTTTATGTATTATTTATGTATCTAATTATAATTTTAATCCACTTTGTTCAATGCACTATTTTTATTTTTTTATTTTCTATTACCTTTTCATAGTAATAGTTTATTAGTTTAAATTTTTCCCAGGTATTGCTATAGATTTCAAAACAATGGATGTGTCACTACACTTCAGCTGTTACAGATGTTCAAACAAGTTCTCATCACTTGCAAAAAAGCTGTTGCTTTAGGATTTTCGTCTTTCCTCCTTTCAGCATGAAACCCAGTTAAAAATAGCCAGCGAGTATTGTTTATTTATGATGGTTGTCTTTGTTGGGGGTATTTTAGGAGGAGAAACTCAAGGCTGGACATTCATTGGTTTAAGAGAGCACATGAAGGAGGGGTTATTTATGAGTGCACACATGCTTTCGTTCGAACGCTGGGAAGATTGACATCTGCGGGGAAGTGTTATGTCAGTATGGGATAGAAAGATCTGCAGAGAGATGCCGGGAATAAAGTACAGCTGTCATGGGATGCCCAGCCATAGGTTTATTTACGACTTCTGTACGAGGAGGTGGAGCATGTGTGCGCGCGAGAGAGAAAGAGTGTGCAAAGCATAGAAAAAAAGTGAGAGAGAGAGAAATTGGGAAACAGATTTAAGGCCACTGAGGCAGAAGATGAGGGCAGGAAAGCAATGAGAGGTGAGAGAGGTTTAGTTTTAAGCTGGGACTGCGGCAGTATGCCTTCCCATAATCCCGCACTAACTAACTCCTAGCAGGAAGTCAACACTGAGAACCATGACAGCTGT